TGCTCTTAAAAAAAATTTTTTAATCACTAAAGCAATATATGCTCATTGTACCAAAACCAAACAATAGAGAAGAGAGTGTTTTCTGAGGGAGTTGCCCAGGGCTTGGCAGGTTGTGCGGCCTTATGAAGACACTCTCCCTTTCTGCTGTGTGTGTGTGTGTGTGTGTGTGTGTGTGTGTGTGTGTGTGTGTGTGTGTGTGTGTGTGTGTGTGGGCACCTTAGAAAACCTGCTGTTGGGTATGACCCCGTAAGGGGTGTGTTCAGTCAGTAGTAATTTTGTATTCTTAGCAACCACCCAGTATCTGCAGTGCTGGGGGAGGGCGCGAGACAGAAGGCTCTCAGGGGCATTCAGGGGTCAGAATCACCCAACAGTGAAGCCCAGGAGAGCCTCCTGGTGGTCACAGAATAGACCTCTTTGGGCACAGGGAGACCTCTGAGGCCCATCGGAGAGAGCACATCCTTCCAGCGTCTCTTAATGCACAGCCTTTATTTATTGTCAGCACCCACCGCCCATACCCCCACCTCACTAGAAAGCTCCCCTTGCCTGGATGTCTTCAGTGTCCTGCAAAGGAAGTGTCACAGCCTTTTTCTGGGGCTGGGAGTGAAGAGGGAGCTATCAGTTTCACATTTGAAACTGATAATGTGAGTCTGTGGCAAGAAGGAATAGCTTCATAACCATTTGAACTTCACCTGACCTTGTCTCCTGATTCAACCCTCTAGCTGTTGGGATCTGCCAACTGGCTGAGCATTTCTGGGTCTTTGACCGGAAACCTCTCCTACACAATTAGCAATGCCAGCCCTGAAACGGGGACTTCTGGCCAGTGTCGTACGTACCAGAGCCTGTTTAGGTTCCATTCAGTGAAAAATTCCATGCATTTTCTCATTCTCTGTTTCAAATCCAACAAAATCCCCACCCCCCACCCCAAATTTTTTGAGCACCTACTGTATGCAAAATATTTTGCTGAGCTCTTGAATAAACCATGAGCGTGTCTAATTTTACAGACTGTGAGCTCCTTACGTGCAGGGCTGTTCGTTCACTCATTCGGTCTCTTAATTCTTTCTCTCTGCATTAGTTGGACGCCTGTTGAGAACCGGACACTTGGTGTACAGTATCCAGGCACTTGGTATACAGTAGGCACTTTGTAGAGACTTAGTTGAGGGAGTCCTGGAGTTCAAATAGGCAGGAAAGGAAAGTGTAACTGTGCCATTCATTGTCTTTCTCAAGGGTCTTGTTAGTTAAAAGGGAGTGAAATCTGAACCCCTTGGTACCTGCGGTGAACCCACCTCTCCCCTTGGGTGAGTGATGGCCTGAAAAGGCAGGCATCTTCCAGGCTTTAATTTTGTGATTGGAAAATGAGGATTTATTTATTCCACAATGATTTCTTTTTTTAAATATTTATTTATTTATTTATTTTTGGCTGTTTTGGGTCTTTGTTGCTGTGCGTGAGGTTTTTCTAGTTGTGCTGAGAGGGGGGCTACTCTTCGTTGCGGTGCGCAGGCTTCTCATTGCGGTGGCTTCTCTTGTTGCGGAGCACAGGCTCAAGGCACGTGGGCTTCAGTGGTTGTGGCACATGGGCTCAGTAGTTTTGGCTCGCGGGCTCTAGAGCGCAGGCTCAGTAGTTGTGGCGCATGGGCTTAGTTGCTCTGCGGCATGTGGGATCTTCCCGGACCAGGGCTTGAACCCAGGTCCCCTGCATTGGCAGGCGGATTCTTAACCACTGCGCCACCAGGGAAGTTCCCACAGTGATTTGTTGAGGGCCTTCTATATTCTAAGCATTGTGCTGGTACCCGGGAATGTGAAGCTTCCCTCACCAACCTCATTAGAAGTTGCAAAGACTGGATAAGATGAAGTGCTTTGGAAAAATCTGCCCCACTGCCTACTGCTGACCAGGGGCCTGGGGGAGCTTGCCGCCTCCTCGCATGGCTCCCCTGGAGGCCCCCCTAAGATGAGCTGTTTCCCTTGACCCATCCCTGCATGCACATATCCTCTTTCTCTGCTCCTGGCCAGCCAGAGTTTACTTGAGTTGGAATCCATGACCTCCTGGCTTCTCCACATGCAGCCTGATTCTGAGCCAGGGTTTGTTTGAGGCCCTGTTTGGATATTGTTAAAAGTGGCAGCTTTGCTCAGAAAGGTCAGTGTGAGAGACCAGAACAAAAAGATCTTTCAAGCTGGCCTCTCATGGGGCTCAGAAAAGCCCCAGCTCTACCTGGCACTGGCAGTTTATACCCAGGACAGGATTACTCAAGCTGGTGGGAGAAACCCCATCTAGTTTCCCATTTCCCAGAGGGCTGAGCTGAGGCGGAGGCGCATTCCCGACATTTCAGAACAGGTTGGCACCAGCCAGGAGCCCAGATCTCTCCCTGTCTAGCCCTGGCCACTGGAACCTATGTTGGTTTTTCTCTTCACCTGCATTCAATAAAAAGTGGGATTTACCCAAAAGATGCCTAAAGGTGATTATTTGCTTTGCTAAAGAATTCCTGGGAGCTTATTTAGATGTCAGAGTCCCGTATAGATTTGAAAATAGTAAAAATATACAACTTTGGAGGCACAAGATCTTGTTAAAATTGCAGTTCTCATTCCTAAATTGAGTGTGTATTGGGGGAGGAACGTGAAACAAAGCAACCAGTATACCAAGTCCATGATTTCAGGTATGCTTGGTTAAGGTGAGATATCTACTGAAGTAAAAAGAAAGAAGATATAAAGAAAAGTATTACACAAAATAATGACACTGATGGTGTACAGCTAGTAGCAAAAATTGTAGATGTGGTATGCAGATGACAGAAGTCGGGGAGATGCTGATTGCAACTGAAGACCTGATTTTATAGAGAAGAGGGCCGTGCATAGCCCACAGAGGTGAGCTCTGCCCCTCAGTAGCAGTGCCCAGGCATGAACCATCTCTAAGGACCCTGTGGAACTCTGTGCTGCTTGCCCCTCCTGGTTCTTCAGAAGCTCTAGGCAGGCTAGGGAATATCGCTGTGACTCTGACTCTATTCCCCAGGTCTTTGTCTCCATTCTCAGCCTTACAGACAGGAGTCTGAGTTCATAGTGTTTGTTGTTTGCACATTTGGGGCTTGCTTGTATGAAACCAGAGGTTCCCAGAAGGCAAGAAATTGATCTGTCCTTTTATGCCTCCAAGCTCCAGAGCCCCCAGGAATCTATTTCATTCATGAAAGCTGCAGGAGGGGCTCACGTGACTTTCCCGACTGCCACCTTTGGCTTTTCACCTTCTGTGATCTTTCATTTCTAAATTTGCTGACCTGGGAGCCTCTGCTTTCCCTTGCAAGCTATTGATCTAGGGAACCCCCCGGGACAAGTGAGGACGCAGTCCTCAGACATTTGCTGAGCACACATGCCCGGGCTGAGCTTCAGGAACAAGACTGCCCTCAGGGGGTGCACAGTGGGAAAGGGGTCAGCCTGTAAATGGAAAATGACTGCAATGCCATGCTTGCTTCAAAAGAGGACTTAACATGGGGCGGGGCGAGAGCTATGCAGTCAGGAGGGGTGGGTGTGGGGAGGGGCCCAGGGAAGGCTGCAAGGAGGAGGTGATGTTGTAAAGTGATGTGTAAAAACACAGGTGTTTTTAAGGATGAGTAGGGGAAGGGCTCTTTAAGGCAGTGGGGGAAGCCTGTTCCAAGACTTGACATAGGCAACTGTGGACAGTTGTTCAGAAAGGACTTGAGTGGTGGGAGATGAGATGGGAGAGAGGCACGGGGCAGACCCGACAGCCCTGGGACACCGTACTGAGGGCCTAGACTGAATTCTGTAAGCCTGGGGGCACCGACGGAAGGCCAACACGGGAAGGAACAAGATGACTTTTGCATGTCAGGTAGAGCCTTCAAGGGGCAGTGGGAGTTGTTTTTCAAACTCAGGCCACACCCATCAGTGGGTTGCAAGATTGTTTAGTGGGGGCTCTGCCGCCAGCAGTTTTAAAATGGGGAAGTAGTGGGGGGCGTAAAATAGAAAATATCGGAGTGGATTGCGCTGCACGTAGTAGAGAGAGGTAATATGTCAGGAAACTTAACTTCAGTTTTATGTAAGCAGTGTGTGCATATATACAGGGTTGCAATGTCAGGTGTATTTCTTACTATGGATCACACTTTAAAAAGCTTGCAAATGACTTTAAGGCACAGAGGGCTGGCTGGAGGGGGTGAGACCAGCTGCCACTGTTATCTAGGCCCCAGGTGATGCAGGCCAGTCTAGGGCCCTGGTGGTAGGGATTGAGAGGTGAGGATGGATTCCAGTGTAGACCGGATGTGGCAGATGAAGGTGGAGAATTTTTTTTTTAATCTCATTAATAGCTTTTTTAATATGATTTTTTTAATTAATTAATTTATTTTATTTATTTATTTTTGGCTGCCTTGGCTCTACCTTGCTGCGTGCATGCTTTCTCCAGTTGCGGCGAGCGGGGGCTGCTCTTCGTTGCGGTGCGCGGGCTTCTCATTGCGGTAGCTTCTCTTGTTGCGGAGCATGGACTCTAGGCACGCGGGCGTCCGTAGTTGTGGTTCGCGGGCTCTAGAGTGCAGGCTCAGTAGTTGTGGTGCACGGGCTTCGTTGCTCCGTGTGGGAACTTCCCGGACCAGGGCTTAAACCTGTGTCCCCTGCATTGGCAGGCAGGTTCTTAACCACTGAGCCACCAGGGAAGCCTGAAGATGGAGGATTTGAGGTTGACTGAAGTCAGAAAGTCTGGCACCAGCCCAAAGCACTTGGGCCAAGATAACATCTTGTTTGAAATACTCGATCCTGGTCTCTTTCTGGTGGTAAGCTGGAGGCCTGGGTTTCTAGAGAGCTGCGGTGGAGGAGGATCCTTTCTATTCTTTGATCACTGATGTCCTGGGCCTCTAGGATCCTGGTGTTACAATTCTGACCTTTCATACCAATTGTTGGATGTTTTCAAATAACACTCAAATGGGCAGGCTCTTCCTAGTGTCTGCAGGTTTGATGAGGATGTCTGTGTGGGAACTAGGCTGGTAATGACCCTGCTTCTACTGTCTTCCTGCTAGGAACATCGTGAAAGGCATGAGAGAACTCCGGGAGGTCCTACGCACTGTGGAGACCAAAGCAACTCAGAACTTCAAAGTGGTAATGGAGGAGGCCCCAGGGCTGGGTGCTGGCTGTGGCTGGTTTATTCAGGAGTTGATTTCAGTGGGAGGCAGCAGAAATCCTAGCAGGCACCCTCTGAATCAGGGGAGTGTGTGCTTCTCCTCTCCCTGTCGTGCTCATGGCAGACATTGCTAGTCAATCTCAGCATTCTTTTCCTCCAAGCCTGGGACGCACCCTCAGCATCCTTCTCGTCACAGCACTGCACATAGTCCCTCATGTTAGATCAATGCTGAAACCTCCTGTCATCCCTTCCTAGCAAGGTGGTGTGCTAATTCTTAGGGATTTGTTTATGATCGTAATAAATAACTTTGGCTTGCTTTCCTGCCCCAATTCAGGCCTACCTTCTTAGGCTTCTACCCCTAATCAGAGCCACAGCTGCTTCTCACTCTAGACTTTTCGGTCAAATATCAGAAAGGTATCTGGTGGAGAGAGCTGCTTGCGCTGAGGGCTTTATGCTTTGCAAGGGCTATGAATACTCTGAGCCGTGCTGGGCTCCATGCGGCCAGGAGGAGGAGGAAATGTACCTCTTGTCTAGGAGAAGAGAGAGGACAAAAGATGGAGTCGGAGCCATCACAGGCCAACAGACGGGGTGGGGCAGCTCAGTGCTGGAGATACAGAGAAGCAAGGGGGCTCCTTGGGGCACAGTGGTAGACCTCCTGGAGGGGCAGCAATTTGCAAGCAGGCAGATTTGGCTGGATGGTGGGTGGAGGGCACGGCAGGCCGCGGCCAGGCAGAGCCAGCACCTGCCTGCATCTGAGTTCCTCCCTCTCTGCCAGATGGCAGCCAAGCACCTGGCAGGGGTCCTGCTGCACTCCCTGAGTGAGGAATGCTACTGGAGCCCCCTGTCCCACCCGCTGCCTGAGTTCATGAGCAAGGAGGAGAATTCCTTCATCACACAGGCCCTGCGGAAACCTCAGCTCTACGAAGGAGACAAGTAAGCCTATCTGCTCTGGGGACCACCCCAGGCTCAGGCCACCGTCCCCAGGGTTCAGTCCCCACTGGCGGCCCCTCTCTCTGCCCCATGCTCTCCTGCAGCCGCCGCCCAGCTCCCTGCCAGGCAGGCTCTTCAGAAGCAGCGGAGCCAAATAGACTAGAGAAGGCAGGTCTTGGGGTGGGGGTCGAGGGGGCATCCTCTAAGGCACCCAAAGGCCAAACAAATTATTTGGCAGGTGGGGGGAGGGGGGATACCTGCCTTCCTAATGGTCTTAATGCACCGTCTGTCGTGTTTGTGCCAGTAATCGAAGGTGGGGTCTGTGAGCTTCTTTCTCGCTCTTGTCTGCTGCTGGCCCCAGCCACTTCATGCAGTGCTGGGGGCTGGAAGGGGCATCCCCCTCAAGAGCTTTGCAGTATTTCCAGCCCTCGCCCACCATAGGCTTTCAGATCCATGACTCTGGGGCATGATAAAGAGCTGCAGGTGGGATCCAGTACCTGTGAATTATGCAGGAGAAGGTCACCTTACCAGGGCGGGTGCTGACTCCGGGGCAGAAGGGCCAGCGTGGCAGGCCAGCCGTGCTGCTTCGGAGGGCCGTGCTGGAGCCAGGCTGCCATCTGTGTCTTCCAGCCTCTACTGCCCGAAGGATAACATTGAGGAAGCCCTGCTGCTGCTGCTCATCAGCGAATCCATGGTAAGCTCAAGGCCTCTGGCCCGTGGAGTAAAGCTGTGGGGCTTGGGCACAGCCCACCAGGTCCTGGCCGAGCTCAGCCCCCAGGGATGTCCCTGAAGCAGGCCTCTTGGATCTGTTCCCCCCCTGCCCAGGGGGTGCGGCTCCCTCATGAGATTTAGGTGTGGAGTACAAGGCCGCTTTCGGGGGCCTGGGTCCTACCCCTAAATGAGTAGGGACTGGGCGAGCTAACAAATTCCCACCTCCTGCTTCTGGAATTACAAAAGGTATCGTCAGCAAGTCAACAGAAGGTTGCGTGAACAGTTCTGTGCTGGGTTGGTGGTGATGGAAGGGAGTGGAAGGAACGTGTACTTGCACGGCAGGAGGCCTGGATTCAGGTTCCGGCCCTGCCACTCAGTAGCTGAGGGCCCTGGGCAGATCACCTAAGCTCTGTGAGCCTCAGCTCCCACCTCTAAGGTGATAGTAGCACACAGAGGTGAGGTGCCTGTACAAGGGATTCGCTCATTCATGCCACTCCTAATACAGAGTGTCATCCACTTTGTGCCAGGCCCTGTTCTAGACTCCAGAGAAGCAGCAGCAAACAAAATGGTGAAAACGCCCTGCCGTCATGGAGCTTTACATTCTATTGAGGGAGGTGGGCAATAAATGAATTAACTACTCAACTACCCAGGGTTGCGATGTCTAAGTGCTGTGGAAAAATAAGGCGGAGCGGGTAAGGTGTGCCGGATGGAGCACACGTGAAATGCTCTCTAGAGTTTTTTCACAAGAACCGCTTCTCCTGCCCCGGGCAAACACACGTGTGCACACGCACACACATACGTGCCGTGGAGGCTCAGCATCGGGGAGAAGTGTGTTGGGTCGTCCGGGAGGTGGTGAGGTGAAGGATGGGTGGTCCAAGGGGGCTGAAGGAAGGGTGGGCAAGAGCATCAAAGCCAGGTGTCCTCTGACTGAGGGGCCCCTCAGAGCTTACGAGCTGGGGACCCCCGAGTTGAGAACTAGGTTTTTTAAAATGATGCATCTGAGCAGTGTGTGAAAGTGGAGTTTAAGAAACTGGGTCCCCAAATAGCAAAAAGCAAATGTCCCTTTGGAAACCTGGGACTGTGTGATGCCAGGGTTCGTTTAGAGAACTCTGGTCAGTGGGTTGCCTGTGGCTGAGCAGGTCCCCCAACAAGTAGACAGGACGAGGGACACTGGACTCGGGGGGTGAGAGAGTATATCCTTCCCCAGCCAGGCGGGGTCCATTCGGATCCAAGAGTGCCGGGGAAGGGGCGTGGATATTTGGATCCCGAGAACAAACTGGCCGGGACATGGTCCTGAAACGTTTGCACGGTGCGTGCTTGTGTGGAGGTTAGGTGGTTGCTGCTGGGTGGGGACATCTAGCTGGTTAGCCCAATGTGGAGGTAGAGATACCAAGTGCCAGATCTGATTTTCATGGGAGAACAGTGTACTTCTCACAGACTGAACCCCATTTTTTAATTATGGAACCTCAGCCGTAGACCAGTATCCTCTCCCTGCCCCCTTCACACACCTCAGCCATCTCAGCACCTACACCATCAGGTGTGACTGCACAGAACTCACCTGTCTCGGGAAACACAGGTCGTTATTGTCACTTTCCTATGCTGAGGGTTACAGTGTTGTCCGCAGGTGGGAAGTAAAAAGGTGAAAATGGGAACGTTTCTTAGGTCCTTTCTCTGCCAGATTCCAAGCTGATTATCTCTTCTAGGTAGGCGTTGTGTTGAGTGGTTTGAAAAATACCAGTTTCATATGATTCTGGCTAATACTAACATGTTCCCATCTTACAGGTGAGAAAAGTAAGGTCCAGGACAGGTACATGTCTTGGACAAGGTTACATACTAATGATCCTTGCAGCAATGATTCAAATCACGTCTGTGATTCACTGACTGCTCTAAGTCTTGGTTTTCTCATCTGTCAGAGGCTCAAGGGGGTAACTTTGAGGATCAAGTGCGACAGAGCTTGGGGAGGGCTTTGTAAACAAGGAAGACCTTGGCTGTCTGTGTGAGAATGGTCAGCATTTTGCTCCCTGGCAGGGATAGAGGCTGGGCTCTGTCTCCCTAAGTATTTTCTGTGGCCATTGCTTGATCTGGGTGCCCAGAACCAGAGCTGAGATGCCTTTCCATTAAAGTTATTCCCCGCAAACCCTCAAGCTGCCCGTATATCTCAAAGTAGAGAATGGCCTTTTACTAGAAGGTGACCCATACTTGGAGCCAAGGTGGTTTCCCTCTAAGCAGCTCTTTCAAGAGGGTATGTGGCCGGCTGGCCTCCACCGGCGACTCGGGGGATCCGGGCCGGCTGTCCAGGCGGGTGTCATGGGACTTCCCTGTGGCCTGCACAGCAGCAGAAGTGCTCAGACGCCGAGTGTGCCGTAGCTGGGAGGAGGCACTCTTCCGGGGCTGGCTGGTTGGTTTCCTCCTGCTCACACCCAGCCTGTCACACATCTAGAAGCTTCAGGTATTTGGGGGAGGACGTTGGCGATGGACGTAGCTTTGGTGTCTCATCTATTGAGGGCTTTCCACCTGGGATCCGGATCTGGCCACCGTGGCTCCGCGCGGTTTCTCAGAGTGACCAGACCGCCTCTGACTTCTCACTTGCCCTTATTTTACCCCCTCCTTTCCTGCAGGTCACATTCTCCATCAGATGTGGGCTCCAGGCTCCTGCTCTGACCCTTCAGCTGACCCCTGAGGCTTAGCCCGGCCTCCATGTACCAGCAGGGTTTTCCTCATCTCCCTTTAATGCTGGCTGGGTTTGGCTCCAGATGATAGGGAGAAACCTCTAGGAGCAGCAGCTGCCTGGGCCGCTCCTTGGGTTCTCCTAATCCCTGCAGAATTCTTTATGCGACAGTAACAGCTATTCCAGCACAACCAGCCCAGGAGGCATAATCATCACAGCTCTCCACTTCCCGGGTCGCCAGAGCTAGCTGCTTCAGGAAAGGGTGTTGCAGGTTTCCTGAGCACGTCCACCCCTATTTGGTGGTTTGCAACTCAGAGGAATAGGCTGCATGGGGGCTGGGTGTGGGGTTGGTACCTGAAATATGGTTTTTGTTTTGGGCTGAGTGTGATCAGAATGAATCGGGCAGCCCTTGTCTTTCAAGAGGTAAATAGAAACCTTACAAATGCTTTCACAGAAGCGCAAGGGACGTGAGTTATAACTGGCTAAAGGAGATTTGTGTTTTGAACTCAGTTTTGAGTTTTCAGGACCAAAAGGACACTTAAAAATGCCCATCCACCTACCCATCCACCCACCCACCTACTCATCTCTCCACCATCCAGTCTTGTTTGAGCAGTGACAGTTGCTGGGCTGTGCCCAGCACTGGGGGTAGAGTGAGGAATAGTTAAATCACAGCGCTCGTCCCAGGCGTCTTCCTACCCAGTGGAACATGTGTCTGGGGACACAGAGGAAATCCTGGTCCCCAGATCAGAAGGAATTATCTCAGTCTGCTGAAC